AAAAAGGCGCATCAAGAACTTCGATTTTGTAATTAGTTCAGTGTATCTTTCTTCCATTTTTGCCATTGGGGTGGTGATGGGGGGAATTCTTCCTCACAAGCATCTGAACTAGGGTTGAAAACGGTCGGGAACGGTCGGGAAAACACCGTAACCATTCCCGCTCCTGCATTATATGACCGGGAATGGTGGCGGGAACGGGAAAGCCGGACGGGAAAACGAATTCGATATTACGGGATATCGGGAACGGAATACTTCGATTGGGAACGTGTCGATTACGATCGGGAATCGATAACACAAAAACGGGAACATCGATATACATGTAACCACTTAAAACAGTTAGCTCGACGCAATAATTGCAACCGTGCATATACGGATGAAAGCAACACAGAATGACAGCAACATATCCACACCACAGCTTGAGGCAAGGCAACCACACACAGTACATCACAGTTCACAGGCAATGAGGCAACAGTCACATAGCACATAAGTCACAACAGTACATCACAGTTCACAGGCAATGAGGCAAGGCAACCACACACAGGCAATGATCCAACACTCAACTCACTCACAGACAAGAGACAATGAGACAACCTACTGGTCCAACACTCAACTCACAATTACAAGTCCAAATTAAAAATAAAGCATGCCCAGCTGCCAAGTGCCAACAGCCAAACACACAATAGATGAACATATCAGAAGCAGACAACACTACATGTCAAAGAAGCCCAGATCATCTCCATGTGGTCCATCTCCTTCGTCATCGTTGTCCGCGACATCGTCGTCCTAAAAAAAATAGGAGGCATCAGTGTTGGAAAGAACTTATCCAGCCACAGCCCAGTAAAGCTGCTTACTACAAGATACTAATACCAGAAAAAGAAACACCGTGGTGACCTTGATTTTTTTTGATAAATACTCCATGTTCATCTCTGCACTAAGATCACACAAAAGCATTACCGAGTACGGTTCTATACAATCAGTTCTTTCCAATTCCACAGGTGACCAACCTGTTGAGCTATACAAGCCTACCAAAATCGCATAGCACATCCTTTCCCCTAGATTAGAACTCTAGAGTAAACACTAGTAGTCTAGTACACTACATAGCCACAGCCACGTATAACTGCAACATATATATTATCCTTTCCCTAGATTTCCCAAGATCTTTACCACAATTATCAGGGCTTTCACTTGACCTCTTAGATCCTGCCAAGACAAGAATAGAACACAACAATATGAATCTAAGACACCAGTATGAATCAAAATGACCAAAGTAATTGGACCTTACTCAATTACTTTTACTCATGCATCTGTTAGTTTGGGAATGACCAAAGTCGCAATTGCTACTGTCATTTTGATTCCAATTGCAACCAAGCAATGACCAAAGTCGCTGAGGTGAGCTTTTGGAATAAAAAAAACAGCAGCCGTAGTCCGTAATAAGGGGGTTCAAATTGCCCGCTAGAAAGGTAAGCTTAGGGAAAGAATCAAACACAAACATGAGAGTCAACTAAAACTCGATGCCCAAAAGATGAGGGCTATATTCAAAATGTTCATCAGGTTCACAACCTTCCGCAGCAAGAGGGGCAGGAATAAGCGAAGGCCTTTGCAATTGGAATCAAAATGACAGTAGCATCTGTTGGTTGCAATTGCAATATGAATCTAAAACATTCATTTGGGAATCAAAATGACAGTAGCAATTGGACCTTACTCAATTACTTTTACTCATGCATCTATTAGTTTGATAGTTTCATCTAACACACAAGCAATAAAACACAAGGGGACAATATACATCTGTTAGTTTCATCCCTAACAACAAGCAATCCCATGTAGTGATTCACACATCTAACATCTTTGCCAATAAATGAAACATACACTAATTCACACATCTTTACATGCCGTTGGAAAAGGCGCGAGGGTGCTGCTGTTCACCGGCGGGGGTGGCTCCAGGAAGAGGCGGCGCTTGGAGGTGGATGAGGCAGATGCAGAACCAGAAGCTTGCTCACTTGGTGGTGGCTTTATCTTGGCGTCCGGCCTGCCTCCCTAGCCCCCCAAGTCGTGGATCTATTGTCGCCTCGTCGAAGACTCATAGTAGGGGTGGCCGACGGTGGAGACTCAGAGTAGGGTGGCCTAGACACCTGGTGGTGGGCGGCGGCGGCCACCGGTCTGGCAAGGCACCAGGAGGGACCGAGGGAGGCCAGGCCGCCAGGCGCTAGGAGCCCAGGAGAGGAGAGGCGCTTGAGAGTTGAGAGAGACTGAGGGTCTGAGAGGGAGAGCCGGAGAGGAGGGAATGCGGTGCGGGTGAGTTGAGGCTGGTGGCGGCGTGCGGGCGAGTTCAGAGAGACTGCCGAAGCCAAAGATTGGGGATTTGGGGTTGGCCCCGCGGCTGCTTAGGGTTTGCAGCGTGCGGGCGAGTTGAAAGACCCTTGTGGCCTTGCCTGGACGACGGACTCACGGACGTGGCCGCGCGGCGTGGGGTTTGGGCGGGCCGGCTGGGTGGATTGGGCCGTTTGCATGGGAGGCCTTAAAAACAGGAATTTCCCGCGGTAGTTTCCTGAACAAATACGGGATCCGCTAATTCGGTCGGGAAATCACTCTAACCGATTTCGACCCCGGATTCGCCGTATTTTCCCGGATTTCTTCCAGAATCCGTTTTTTCCCGAGAAAATAGTATTCGGTCAGGAATTTCGGTATTCGGTGTCGGTCGGTACGGGAATTTCCCGTTCCCGCTTTCATCCATAATCTGAACTGAGCAGTTGATGATTTGAGTGGTTGTGTGCAAGATGGGGGACCTGGTGAAGCTGCACATATATGATCCCAGCCAGGGGATGGCTGAACAGCTCTTGGCGCAAATTGATGATCCTCGGCATGACCATTGAGGTGATTTGGTGACCATTGTTGGTTCTTTTTTCTTCTTCCTGCTGCTCACTGTGTATATGAGATTTTCCTAAGAAAGAATTCTTGGATCGGGCCACGATTGGAAATATTTAAAATGAAATTGTTTGTATGTTTGCCTATTTCAAATATTTGTTAGGAAAAAAATCACACTTTTGCTTTATCTCAGCAGGGCAGCAGAGGAGCAAACTATTGGGGAAAAAGAGAGCGAAGGGTACGTTCGGTTGCTAAATAACTAATGAAGAAATAGATTCCTGTAGGTGTAATTTATCATTGCGTAATGTACATCATTGCACACATGTGTTTGTCATGGCGTAGTGGGTAAATATTTGTGCCACAATCTGGCAAAAATTTATGGGAGATGTAGGGTACGTTTGGATCCTGGGCAAGAAAAATACTAGCCTCGCTAGGCTAGCCACAGCGTTTGGTAATCCAAAAAAAAACATAGCTTTTGGGGGTGACCTTGCCCTCCTCGCCCAGAAAAGCATCGCTCCTGAGGGAGAGCCGATTCGGCTCGCCTTCAACGGCAAATCGCGCTCGTGCCAAAGAAAATGCGCGCGAGACGATCTCATCCGCAACGAACTCCGCTTTTCCCCCATCCACACCACCATGTTCCTCAGCATCCCATGCGATTTTTGCTCCAACACCTCCATAAATCTAGCCAGATCTCAGTTTGCAGGCACCATAACCTCCATCCAGTAGCTCCATTCTCGTCCTCTCAAACTTGACCGCTGCGAGACCACACGATTGATTTCCTGGGCTGTCTTCAGCAGGAAAGAGAGCAGAGCAGGGGACGACAGAGAGTAGGGACAGAGGAGCAGGTTCCTCCTCTTCAGCTTGCAAGGTCTGTAATCAATCCCTAATGTCTATTTTTTCATCCAGAGATTAATTGTGATTGGAATACGCCTGAGGACTCTTTAGATTGGGGATTAATTCCATAGAGTAGATGGTGTGCTTAATGATTTGGGCTCTAATATGGTGTGTGCGCAGCACACTGCAGTCTGCAGATCTATTTAAAGTATAATCCTGTGATTTCTAGCCAATCCCCTCCACACATAGATATTTGCTACTATATCAACAATTCCTTGAATGAACAAGTACTCTATTCTAATTACTAGAGGTGTTGTGAAGTGATTTTGGTGAAAAATCTTACTCTGAGTTTCAGAGGTCTTTCTCTGCTATTGTTCCGGTTTTCCTGATTTTTGTCTTTTATAAGTATTTACCTAGGCTAAAGTTTCTGAGATCTTAAAGGTGTTTCTCTTTCTCTTGTAAAGCAAATGGTGAAAATCTTGTCCTTAGTGTGGTTTCATATGAACTTTGTGATACCCTACTTAGGTGTATGATTGCATTCATTAGCGCTTCTATTTTAGCATGGTTGATATTGGTGATATTTTAACGCAATACCGATGATCCTATACGATACTCATTGTTAGAGAGGAATAAAGAAAGGCTAAAGTATCTACAGCAACTGTATTATGGTGAGGAGAAACACTGCATCTCAGAGTTGCGCATGGGAAAGTCAGTGTTTTTCAAGCTGTGTCTAAAACTGCGTACTATGGGAGCACTTAGAGATACTTGGCATTGTACCATAGAGGAACAAATTTCCATGTTTCTCACTACTGTAGGACATCATAAGAAAAACAGTGATATTAGTTTTCATTTCACAAGGTCAGGTGAAACCGTTAGCCGATATTTCAATCAAGTTTATATGCAATTGGACAACTTGAACCTGAAATGCTTAGGCATCGCTCTCTCGATATACCATCAAAAATTGTAGGCAACCCTCGGTTTGATCCCTATTTTAAGGTATGGCCCTTCACTATTTTATACCAAAATAGCTTATTAATAATATATTAGTATGTACTTATGTTCCTATACCAATTGAATGGCTAGGATTGCATCGGCGCAATTGATGGTACCCACAATCCTTGTAATGTTCCATCAAGGATTGTAGATAGGTTCCGCATTAGGAAAGGTTTTCCTACCCAAAATGTTCTTGCAGTGGTTGATTTTGATTTGATGTTCATGTATGTAAGTGCTGGTTGGGAGGGGTCCACACATGTTTCCACGGCCCTACGACATTCTCTTGAGCATCCAAATGGCCACATGCAGGGATGGCAGGAAATAACGTTTTGTGGCAGCCCCGGGTGGTGGAGAACATGCTACGATACTACAAAGAGAAGATACAAGCTGAGGGGAGACTAATGTTTTTTCGTGAGATACATCATGACGAGTGCGCAAAACAGATTAATGCAAAGTATCACACAAATTTCACTCAGCGACAAGTTTACCACAAGTATCATAAGCTGAAAGGTCAATGGAAGGTTATACTGCAAGCAAAGAATTTAAGTGGAGCAAACTTTGATGATGTTAAGAAAATGATACTTTATGATGAAACAGAGGTTGTCAGGATGCAGAATGTAAGTCTTTCTGTCCTTATAAATTTGATTTAGTTATGTTACTTATGTATTATTATAGTGAAGTACAAAATTAAGACTGGATATGTGCAGGACAAAGTTCCAAGGGCGAAATTTATAAATGCCCCCATCCATTGCTACGATGAGATGGAATTCATTTTTCAAGACAGGCATGCAACTGGGGAGTTCACTGTTCTACAAGCACCATACGATCTTCCTTCCACTCAGGATGGAGATTTAATTGGTGATAAGAATGCGAATCGTGCAGAGGATGTTGACCCAGGTTTGCAGTATGATTCAGATTGCCTGTCTGAAGAGGAGGACGGCAATTATGGGGGAAGCTCATCTAGCAAGCGTCCTGCTGCTAGCGAGCCTGAAAAAGTGAAGAGGCCTAAGCGTGATGATAGTGCGATCTCAGAGGTGACTCATGTTCTGCGTGATATGTCTGACACCATGCGCTTCACTCATGTCACTCATCCAAATGAAGAATTATTCAAGACAATTGATGCTATGAAGGAGTATCCATTATTTGTTCGACTTGAATTACAAGAGTATCTTGCAAATAATGAGAAGACTGCTGCTATGTTGAAGGGAAGACCATTGGAGGCCATCAAGGAGTACGTCGAGAGATGGTTTGTTAAAAACTATCCACCTCCGATGATTTGAGTTTGTTTAGATCAGACTTTACAATAAGTATGCACATTTTATGCTTTTCATAGGACTAAGGAAAATAATGGACCCTCGGCTGCAACACCATGTTGTAAATGGATAGTATTTTATTTGGACAATGGCTATTTTATATGTATTTTATTCTTATACAATTATGAGCAATTTGATCTAGCACGCTTGTATCTGTTTCCATGTACATGAATGCTAAATTGCAAGGAGGAATGAGGCAGCAAGGTCGGCAAGCTGTATACGCAACCAAACGACAAAGCTAACTGGGCAAAAGAACCAAACGTTCTGTACTGGCAAGGTTGACCTTGCTGAAATTGGCAAGCTTGCCCAGCTGAGCTATATCCCAACTCAGCAAGACTACAAAACGCACCGGTATTGCTGGATTATGGATTCTTGGCAAGGCAGATTATGTGTATCAGAGGTGAAAAAAGACATCCTTTTGTTTTAGCTTTGGATTGTAAAAGCATGCCATAGTTCTTGTTGGCCGTGCACCACACTTCCTCTCGGACTATGGCCTTCAGCGTGGGTTAAAGGCATGTTATTATCTAAAATACAAAGAAGGATGGCCTTAGTATACCAGTCCTGTATGAATCAAACTGATAATTCAAATAAATGGTTAGTTCTAAAAGATCGATGAATCAATTACTCTTGTTATGGTGATATGAACTTTTATATGTGAATGCACAAATGTACAATAAATGCATACCTTGACGATTGCAAACCATCAATGAGAATTTTGGTCATGCACAAAATTTAATTTGTAATATTGACATTCTGAACATCACGCTCGCATTATCGGTTTTTTTAAACAATACAACATGTTCATGCTCAAATTATCAGGGCATTATTTGTTCCCATTGCAACGCACAGAAAGGTCTATACAATAGAGTTGGTGAGCCTACGACGCCGCGCTCTCCGTAAAAGTGTTAATTTCACAAATTTTGCTTTTTGGATTAAATGTTACTTTAACGTCGGTATTTAATTTCACAGTATTGTTATCTTATCATGCGATCCATGTGGTTTTAGTACAAAAGTTTAGTTGTCCTGTAGCAATACACGGGCACGCTACCTGATAGTTATAGAAAAATAGAAAAAATCCTTAAAACTTAGAAAATTTTCAGAACATTCTTATCGATGTATAAACATGTTTTAAAAACTTTGTATAGCAAAATTATGAGATACTAGTATGAATGCAACAAACATTAATGTCGATTGTATTCATGCTGGTTGCACATTATTTTTTTGTCGTGGAAAGATTTCAAAACACGTTTGCATAATATCCCCTCAACCGCGCAAGATTTGCGCCCTTCTCAGTCCCTTCTACTGTTTAAAGCACTATTAAGAACTGTTCAATTAGATAAACAATGTTTATATGTACTTGTTTACATATTTTTTTCGTTATACTATGTGGTAGAACCGCCTAATCTAATGTCTTTCAGGAGTACTTGTCTTCCGTTTGACACTAAGTACTCAAGAGAGGACACTAAATTACGCAGTTCCGTCGAGCACACCCCAAGGAAGAACTCGAAAATCCACATTTTTCCATCAGGATTATAAATGAGAGAATAAAGCTTACAACATTCTTAAGGCATTTCTTACATCACTTTATTACAGTACCAGAATATTACCTCAATTTATTATAACAACGGAATATAACAATGTTATCAGAGTTACAGGAGAAGCAGGATTAATTTAATGATATGGTAGAGTATTAACATAGCGGACATTTATATACAAGAGATGTTAACAAATTTTACATCTTTTCTTATAAAAACCTTTCATGAGGGTTATAAATAAACACTACGGTCGTAGCGCAAAAGGAATCCTCTCTGAGCCCACCAGGAGGTTTCCACACATAAGAGTCAGCTCTAAGTATCCTCTGATCACCTGCAACAGGGGGAATAAAACCCTGAGTACTCAATTGTACTCAGCAAGACTTACCCGACAGGAGGAAAATAAAAGACTCCAAGGATATGCAAGGCTTATTTGGCTTGTGGGTTATTGCATCTGCAGGAAGGATTACTAAACGTATGTCCTGATATTCAATTTCATTAGCAGTCATCATTAGTTCATTAACTAACCATTCTATGTAAGCACATATGCTACTTTCAAGCAGGTGATAAGCAATCAGAATCATTTTACCATCTTTCAATTTCCAGTTCTTACTACGGTACTAGACCATAGCCAAGTCGTACCGTATCACACGACGATTCGTGAACTGATGTATCTCAGCTGGATACTCTGAAACACACGCTCCGCTTGTACCCTAGGCACAAGGAAGACCAACCCACCATTCTCCTATCAAGGAGTCTAGGTTCTCGTACAAACTTGGACTCCAAGCCCTCAATCCTAAGTCCCAGACTCAGTGTGGTGCGTAGACCTCCACCATCCCCGCCTCCAATCAGTTGGTCCAAAAAGAGTCAGAACCCACGATAAGAGAGCAACGAGCCTTACTGCTCCCATAAGCAAGTACGTGCTCAGGATAATAAGTCTGTGACCTGACTACCATTCACAGCAACGAACGGTCCTCAATCGACACAGGCGGAACAAGTGCAATCCGAGCCTCGTTTGAATGCCTAACCAAGTCTAGATCCAAAGTACCATTCTGCCCGGTCTCCAATTATCATTCATATATATTCTATGTGATAGTAATATAATAACAACAATAATATATTTCCTATCTCTCGCGAGTGACAGGTAATCACTTGACTTCTACCGAATCCTATAGCATAGCAATCTACACGATCTGGACATACTAGTAGGACTCATATGATAAGGATAAGATATGCAAGTGATTTTTATTCAACTCTTTAAAACTTAATGCATAAGCATAAGATAAAGTGCACAATAATAGGGGTTATGCACCGGGGCTTGCTTGGGTAAGATATAACCAAAAGTTAACATTCTATCATGGTGACACAATCATCAAGGCACAATCTTTTCCTCTACCTCGGTCGACTCCATGATCCATCGTTGTTCCTATTATGATATACGTGGATGCAACGTAGAGACACAATTAATCAATGGTAACCGCAACTCTTAAAAATATGAATACGCTCCCCAAGCTAACGAGCTAGCTTAAATGACTAACGTACCAGTCTACGTATCCACTTTGTTGAATAAGGCGTTCTTTTCCGAAAAATGTTCTAGTTTTAAAATTCCAAGGTGTTTCGGCATTTTATTGCTTAAACATATATTTTCGAACTAGGGCTTATTTAGTTACCTTAGCAAACTAATTATTATGGAGCTACAAAAAATTACAGTGAACACCTTATAATGTTAGAAATTTATTGTGAAAGTTTTAGAGCCAACACTATCACCAATTAATCACAAGAATTCCTACAAATTTATATTTTGACAATATTAAGTATCTCACTTTAATTATATAACTCCTAAGAATATTATAAAACTATGTGAACAAAATATACTAGCAGATAGATCATGATTTTAGGAACCTAACAAAATTGGTTTCATAATTTTTGTTTAACTACACAATTTTATACTGAATTTACAAGTTTATCTTAGAAGCTAAATTAGAAAATGCTTAGAAAAAGAAAAGGGCCGGTGGCGACCATTTCGACCCGACAGCTGCGCGCGCGTCGCGGCGGCCCAACAACGAACCAAGGCCGGGGCGCCTGCACAAGCTCATGTTTTGTAAAAGAGGGCTTGGGTTTTTGAATAATCACGCGGAGCAACGGAATACTATTACCATAGACTCACGCTTTGCATGAAAGACCCTGAAATGTGTTGCCTTTGCAATGGGGCGGTCCTCGGTGTACCCGCGCGCGGCGGCTGAAAGGTCCTAATGGCTAGAGGGGGGTGAATAGCCTATTAAAAATTTCTACAACAACACTTAGCAAACCGGTTAGACAAATATGAGGCGAAGCGAGTGTTGCGCCAGCCTACTAAAAATGTAAGCCACTTACCACAATTCTAGTTTCTATAGTCTATCCACACAATTGCTATGTTACTACACTAAGTTAGTGTGCTTTCAAAGGCTAACTAAAGAAGCACACTAACAAGCTCTCACGACTAGTTACACTAAAGAGCTTGACAACTAGTTTACGGTAATGTAAAGGAAGAGAGCAAGATGGTTATACCGCCGAGTTGAGGAATGAACCAATCAATCACAAGGATGAATACCAATGAAGACCAATCACCTCGGAATCAAATGATGACACAATGATTTTTTTACCGAGGTTCACTTGCTTACCGGCAAGCTAGTCCTCGTTGTGGCGATTTACTCACTTAGAGGTTCACGTGCTAATTGGCATCACACGCCAAACCCTCAATAGGGTGCCGCACAACTAACACAAGATAAGGATCACACAAGCCACGAGTAATTGACTATAGTACCTTTTGGCTCTCCACCGGAGAAAGGTCAAGAACCCATCACAATCACCACGATCGGAGCCAGAGACAATCACCAACCTCCGCTCAATGATCCTCGCTGCTCCAAGCCGTCTAGATGGCGGCAACCACCAAGAGTAACAAGCAAATCCCGTAGCAAAACACGAACACCAAGTGCCTCTAGATGCAAATACTCAAGCAATGCACTTGGATTCACTCCTAATATCACAAAGATGATGAATCAATGATGGAGATGAGTGGGAGGGCTTTGGCTAAGCTCAAAGGTTGCTATATCAATGCAAATGGCCAAGAGGGTGAGCTTGAGCCGACCATGGGGCTTAAATAGAGAGCCCCCCATGAAAAGAGCCATTGGCTCCTCTGTCCAATGAAACACGGGCTGACCGGACGTAGGACCCCAGCGTCTGAGTCGCCCGATGCTAACCATGTGTCATCAGCCACAAATGCTAAACGCTCGATCTTAACAGCTAGTCTACTTCGCGCCATGTGTTAAGTTGTGATCGGACGCACTGCTTAAAGTGATCGGACACTCCATCACTGGAGTCGGTCGTTTCCAGTAAGGTTTCAGAGAGGCAAAATCATGATCGGATGCGTCCGGTCTACCATGACCGGACGCGCTG